CCTCGCTGCTCCCTGGGGGGCTGCGAACTGCGCAACCGTCGCCACTTTCGTGGGTTTCTGGGAGGCACGGCGGACTAGGGGAGCATGAGGGATATGAGGGAACGCGGACCCAGCCGAGACCTCGCAGCCGGAGCTCCCTGTGGAGCTGCGGACTGCGCAATGATCACCCTTTCGTGAGCTCCTGGCAGGCGCGCGCGGCGGAGTCGGGGGCCACGCGGATCCAGCCGAGATCTCGCGGCCCCCATAACAGACTACGAACTGCGCAAGTGTCGCGACTTTCGTGGCCCCCTGGGAGTCGCGGCGGAATAGGGGAGCAGCGCACCCAACCGAAACCTCACACCTCCCTGGGTGGCTGCGGACTACGTAAACCGTCGCTATCTTCGTTGGCTCCTTGGAGGCAGTCCGGAGGAGAGGGGTGCACGCACACAGCCAAGATCGTGCAGCTCCCTGGGGGTCTGCGAACTGCGCAATTGTCGCCTCTTTCGTGGACTCCTGGGAGACACGGCGGAGTAGGAATAGGGGAGCACGCGCGTCCAGCCAAAGCCTCGCTGCTCCCTGGGGGGCTGCGAACTGCTCTGCTGTCGTCACTTCCGTGGGTCCCTGGGAAACACTGATGAGTAAAGGAGTACGCGGACCCAGCAGGGACCTCGGAGTCGGGAGGGCACGCGCGCCCACGCGAGCTCTCGTGGGCTCCTGTGAGGTCAGCGGGCCCAGCCGAAACTTCGAAGCTCCCCGGGTGGGTGCGAGCGGCGCCATTGTCACCACTTCCGTGAGGTCTTGGGAGGTCCAGCGGGGTCGGGGGCCACGCGCGTGCTGACGGGACCTCGCTGCGCATGGGGTGGCTGCGAACTGCGCAGCCATGGCCACATTTCGCGGGCTCCTGGGAGGTCCAGAGGAGTCGGAGGCCACGCTCGCCCAGACGAGGCCTCGCTGCCCCCCGGCCGCGAGCTGCGGAACTGTCGCACATGTCGCGGGCTCCTGGGAGGTCCAGCAAGGTCGGGGGGCGCAGACCCCGCTGCTCCTTGTACGCTGCGAGCTCCGCAACTGTCGCCACTTTCGCGGGCTCCTGAGAAAGTCCAGCCGAGACCTCGTGGCCCCCAGGGAGGCCACGAGGCGCACAAGTGTTGCTACTTTCGTGGGCTCCTGGGAGGCACGGCGAAGATGAGGGCAACGCAGATCGTGCATAACTGGCGATGTGTTCTGTTGTATGGGGCGTTCATGCAAACATTCCCCTCGCGTGGATAAGGCGCTGGGTACATCGTGGTGAATTTGGCGCATGCGAAGGTTTTGTGTCCACCTGGGAAGATCCTTGCGAGCAGCCTCCGTAGCAAGTTCCACGAATTCCTCGGAGCTTGCTTAGCGAAACGAATCCACTCCCTGTCCGCCCCATCTCCTCAGATAGTCCTGCGCGGGGATTCGTCGTTAAACCATTCAAAATCCTCTGCGCGAGCCCCGCCCGGCTGTCTGGATCCTCCAATGGCATGTTGAGGGCCACCTTCAGATCGCTAGGTCTGAATTCCAAATCTTGGCAAACAACTCAGATCCCTACAAGGTGTCCGACCCTTCCTAATTACCGTCTGAAGGATGCGAGCTTGCGGGCAGGTGTTCATCGGCGCTGGCGGCGAGCGGTAGAGCAAGAGCAGCTCTGTATGCTGACGCGTGCGCACGAGCCATATTGGCCTTCAAACGTTTGGAGAGAGGCTCCGAATTCGCCGCATCGAACAACGAATCCCACCAGCCCTTTAGGGCGTGAGTGGTTTAGCGAGCCCCCTCTGTCCTCAACCCCCCTTCTTCCCCTTCGGGGAGGGGTTTACCCCTCACCCTACCCCCTCCCCCTGGGCCTGGAGAGGGCGGCCCGCGGGTCGTCCGGGGGGGTCTTTTTCGACGCCTGGGAGGGCCAAAAAACGACTACCCTCACGAGGATTCTGGCCCCGACGGGGGGACGCTCTTGTATCCCCCTCCTCTTCTGTGAAGCCAAAATCATTGTTTTTACTATGGTTTTGGCCCCATTTTGGCCTCCCGAGGGGGCCGCGCTCATCTTCCTTCATAGCAAAATCATTGGTTTTACGTGGGTTTTGGGCTCATTCTGTCCTTCTCAGGGGGCAGCGCTTCTTTGCGCTTCTGAGGAGGTCGCAAGAGGCCCCAAGATGGCCCCAAGAGGCCCCCAGGAGCCTCCCCAGAGGCCTCCAAGAGGCCCCCAAGAGGCCCCCAAGAGGCCCCAAGAGGACCCCAAGAGGCCCCCAAGAGGCCCCCAAGAGGCCCCCAGAGGCCCCAGGAGGCCCCCAAGAGGCCCCCAAGAGGCCCCCAAGAGGCCCCCAAGAGGGCCCAAGAGGCTCCAAGAGGCCGCCAAGAGGCCCCACGAGGAGCCCGAACGACTCACACCAGGACGAGGGGCCCGAACGACTCATACCACTAGGAACCCGAACGACTCACGCCAGAAGGAGGACCCCGAACGACTCCTACCAGGACGAGGCGCCCGACCCATTCACACCACGAGGAGCCCGAACGACTCACACCACGACGCGCGCCTCGAACGACTCACACCACGAGGAGCCCGAACGAGTCACACCAGGAGGAGGGGCAGCGCCCGAACGACACACGCCAGAAGGAGGACCCCGAACGACTCCTACCAGGACGAGGCGCCCGACCCATTCACACCACGAAGAGCCCGAACGACTCACACCACAAGGAGGGGCCCGAACGACTCACACCAGGACGAGGCGCCCGAACGACTCACACCACGAGGAGCCCGAACGACTCACACCACGACGCGGGCCCCGAACGACTCACACCACGAGGAGCCCGAACGAGTCACACCAGGAGGAGGGGCCCGAACGACTCACACCAGGATGAGGGGCCCGAACAACTCACACCACGAGAAGCCCGAACGACTCACACCAGGACGAAGAGCCCGAACGACTCACACCACGAAGAGCCCGAACGACTCACACCAGGAAGAAGGGCCCGAACGACTCACACCAGGACGAGAAACCCCAAACGACTCAAATCACGAGGAGCGCTTTCTCTCCCTCCTCCTCCGCCTCGTCCTTCTCCCGCTCCCCCCACAAGGAGGATGTACAAGGAGGCGGGAGGAAGGAGGAACAGGGGAGATATGCGGGGCCAAGCGGACACACGCCTGAAAAACACGACTGTCGCCATGCTTCGCAAGAGTTGCTGCTGTGAGATGGGCTGGTGGGGATACGCGAAGCGTAAAGAATTAGAGAACCGCATACGTGTATCTGGCTTTCTTGACCACATCCAATGCCGTCCTCTTGCCAAGAGCAAGATGAATGGGTCGAGATCCCCGTTCGATTCGGAGCTGGACCTCGGGACCAATGAGGGTGCGCCGCTGGATCTCCCCAAGGGGGGGGGGGTAGGATCCCCCCCCCCCTCCCCGCCCTTCCCCGATCCGTCGTCGGGGACCCTCCCCCCCTTCCCCCCTTCCCCGATCCGTCGTCGTGGACCCCCCCCCCTCCTCCCCTTTCCACGACCCGTCGTCGGGGACCCCCCCCCCCCCTTTCAAAGGGGGGGGGGAGGTCCGACCCCCCCCCCTCCCCTCCTTTCGCCACGCCGCCCCCTGACGCCGGAACCCGACCCCCGCCACCCCTACCCCTAGTCCTCACCCGAACCCAAACCCCGAATCCGAACCCGAACCACTAACCCCAGCCCCAAAGGGACTCACGAGGGGCCTCCTACCCCCTAACCAGTAACCCCAGCCCCCTACTCACTACCCTCTACTCACTACTCGCTATTCGCTACTCACGACCCACTACTCACTATCCACTACTTACTACCCACCACCCACTGCTCGGTACTCACTACTCAGCCGGCAAGACTGCTCTTGTTCCTAATGACGCCTGGCTCATCCAGCTCTCTTCGATCGCCCCCGACTGCTAAATCTGAATATCCACTGCAACGGCTGTGAGTTCCAGGTCGCACTAACTTAGGGCCTCGCAGTGCTCAAGACAAGAGTTGCGGGTATATTCGCCCGCTCGCGCCGCCCTCTGAACAGGGACCCAGGCCGCGAAGCATGAAGAGTGGCTACATGTCTCCGTGCCCCTGCTCACGCGCGGTCGGTTTGACACGCGGAACATGCGCAAGCCTCTCGCCGGATGCTCCCGCGAAGGACAAGTGCACCCTGCCGCCCACGGGAGGAACGAGCCAGTGAGAGACATGTGGTCATGAGTGAACGCAGTTCTCGCCTAGGCCAGACACGAGTGTGCTCAAATTCCAACAGAACCCCCCCTGCCCTCCCACATAAGGGGTAGCCGATGACACCTGACTTCGCGCTTCGCGCTGAGCGACGGGTGCCTGCCTCGACGAAGCGGGGCTTGGATTGGGACACCGCGTGAGCCGTTCAGCACTGAGCGATACCCGCTCTCGAAGGCCGACAGAGGCTGCCGACAACGTCTTTTGAACGAATTTCGAGCGTGGCTTGTTTCCCCCCGAGCCAGGGACGAGCTTTTGGAGGGCGTCCAAAATTCGAACGCCCTGTGCTGGCGTCGCGGCCCTGCTGACAAGTTACAGCCCTCCAATGCCTGAAACAGCCGTCGGATGAAGTCTTGTTCGTTCGCCGAGCCAGCCCTGACCTACTTGAACGAGCTCCTGAAACGGGGACTTCGGATGATAGCTGGCTCTCGTCCAGGTGGCTATTCAAACGCGAGAGCAATACACTAAGCAGGAGCATCGACTACCGAAACAGAAAACGGCTGGACGCAGATTGTGGTGTGCGAGCACGGAAGTGCCTGCCAGGTTGAAAAACGACCCACTGAGGGGCACTCTGCGGCATGTTACCGGCGTTGGACAAGCCTCCCTTCAGTAAACCTCCCTTTCTGGGACCGAAGCCGAGGGACCTGGACCCGCAAAAATGACGGCCGCGACGCCCTCTCGCGAACCGAAAAGGGCCAATTCGCTAATCGACGTGTCAGGGTAAGAGTTCTGTCCACCTCCGATGTTACACGGACTGCGTGCAGAACTCAATCACAATCACCCTCCGGCTCCTGAGCCATCGCGGACTGCTCCTCGAGCTGCTTGTCCTTCTCCCGGATCCGCTCCTGTCGGGCGCAAGCTAACATGGACTACGGATCCGTGGATCCGGCGCGTGGGCGCCAGATCCACATACAGTCAGACTTGATTGGAGAGGACACGCGAGAGGACACAAGACCCTTTTGAGGGCCACATTGCCACAGGAATGTCGGAGGCATGGGCCGCAAGGCACAGGACACAAGGGTACCCTTGATTTGGCAGGGCCGACCTACTAATCAGGGCCGACTGTATCGGGGAAGGTACCCCACGAAACGAGGCCAGTGCCGCCTGAGTCTGCGACGGAGCGTGCCGATTCGGCATGAATCTGATACCCGGCGCTGAGCCACGCAGCCCCCCTCCCAATCCATGCTTGCGCCGCATTCATCCTCAGCTGGCCATCGCTCGGACGTCCATTTCCTGTGTGTGTTTTCGGTTTCGTGCGTGGTTTTTGTCGCCAAATGATCAAGGATGCTCCTCGATGGTCCTCGCCGAGGGGAAGATGCACATGTCGGAGCGATGCCAAGTGGGGGCGTATGGAAAACGATTAGCTGGAGCAGTGGCCGCTGCACCGCATGTCTAGGTGATGCTCAGAGCGCGTCTTGGCGCCAGGGTGTGCTTAGCGTGCTTATCCACCGAAGGCCTCCAGTACGACGCAGGCGGTGTGAAGAAGGGCCAGCACAGGCTGCGTGCCATCGGTGGAGCGCAACGGGGCAACACACACATTGGCTTAGCATACATCCTGAGGATTATCGTACTTCGCTGAGCTCATCTTGCGAAACGCCTCGGTCGAGCGGCCTGCCCCTGCATCTCGGAGGCATGGCGTCCCACGACCCCAGCGCATGGCAGGCGGCATCGGGAAAACACGAACGAGTGGGCTGTTGACGTGCGGGGTGGGCCGAGTCCCCAAAGTTGGCCCTGACGGGTCCCAAGGGCCTAGGACGAGAGTTCTGCCATGATGCGATATGGCTCAAGATAAGTCCCACGATGGGCTCCTGACATGGGGTCAGGCTGAATCCTCCGTGCTGGCCCCGACGAGCTCCGAGAGTTCCGGTCGAGACTGTTGCCATGATGCGATTGTCGAAGGGTGCGTTCCAAGACTTCCAGGGCACCTAGCGGCCCTCGCCTCGTTTACTGGATCCATTCAGAACAATGGGACATCTGGAAAATCCAGGGAAACCTGACGCATCCCAGCGTAACATTATCACCATAACATCATCACCATTTACCAAGGCCTGACATCACCATGACTTCTTGCTCCCCTGAGGAGGTGCTCGATTCTCACCCCCCGCCGTCTGCGCTTGCGCTCCCCTGGTCCAGTGCCGGCGGCTATCTGGCTGAACGTGTCGTCGACGAGCACTGCTCCGAGTTTCCAAGCTCGCTGCGAACGAGCACTGTCGTCAACGAGCACTGTCGACGAACACTGCCTGACGCAATTCCGTGGTCCATGTCGTCGACGAGCACGGTCGACGAGCACCGCTATCGACGAGCACCTCAAGTCTTCCAAAATCGCGCTTCGAGCTGCGCAGGGCGCGATCATCGCGCCCCCAACCCTCCGGCCTGGGCCGGGCCCGCGGAGCCAAGGTGTGCCACCACCCCCTTGGGGGCTCCCAGAGCGGTGCGGTGGCAGTGCGATGACCGTGACATCCCCGGAAACCCCACCGCACGATGCGTCACCGAACGGCATTTGGACCCTGGAGGCCCCAGCCCGAGACGTCTTCCGAGAACGACCCGAATCCCAAGCCCGCACGGTCACCCCGGATGCCCACGGACTCGCCACAGCGGCCCTCCCACGAATGTTTGGTTTGCGGGCCGCAACTCGGGTCCCGGCGGCCTTTCGGAACGACCCGGGCACCCCCGAACGCTCTCGGTAAGGCTCACCTGCTGGAACGCATCCCGAGGCGGGAACCTCCTCAGGAGCCATCGGAAATGTTCGAAAACATTTTGACTGCCCAGAGCTCACCAACAGTTCGGCCTTGGCCACCGCACACACCTTTTGGGGGCCCCCAATCCTCACCTTGCCATCGCTCGGACGTCCATTCCCCGTGCATTTTTCGGTGTCGTACGTGTTTTTTGTTGCTCGATGGTCCCGGATGCTCCTCGACGGTCCTCGCCGAGGAAAAATGCACACGTCCGAGCGATGCCAAGTCACGCCCCTGCGGGCGACCCCCGCACCTCACCTGTCTGGAGCGCACTATGAAACTCGAGACGGGTCTGAACGCGGCGACGAGGGCGCCAGTAGAGGACGAGAGAACGGGCGAGGCGCACTCGAAAACCTCCATCCCACATCCTCGAGCCACGACCCTGGATCCTCGAGCCCACATCCTCGTTGGGGACCTTCCTGAAGCCACTCGCTCCACACGTGCGTCGACGCTGCGTCGAACATCTGTCGACTTGGGTCTAAGCTGAATCCGCCTTGAGTCGAACTTGAGTCAAGCTGGAGTCGAACTAGAATCGACCAGATCTGTTAGGCGAACCCTATCAAGGTCACGAATATGAACATCTGACTCGTCATCCTCCCTCTCTGACCTGGCGGACGCTCCTGTTCGGTGCCGACGAGGCTACGCCTTCTCCCGCGGCCTCCTCAGCCCTGGCCGCTTTCCATGCGCTGATCTGGGCAGCTCAGGCGGCCGTCTCAAGTGATCTGGTTCCTCGCGCTCGTGGAGGGTGCGATTGCCTCAAGTGCCAACACTAGCACCTCGAACATACACAGACCCCGTGCGCTCAGACGTCGTCATGAACGACTGCTGGGAACGTGCGGACAAGGAAGGCAGCATGGGAAATCAGCACGAGCTATCGAAGCGCCTCGCTTCAAGCATTTCCAGCGGCGTGGGGCCCGAGCGAGAGGCGCAGCGCCGCAGAGGCCAGCAGCAGGAGCAGCAGCCGCTGCGCGTGCCGAGGCCGCCAACCCGCAGCCGCCGCCTGCGGCGAGCCAGAACGCCGCAGAGGGCATGAGCTGATGGGCCTGCTATCCACCACCACCACCATGAGTTGCAGGGGGGAAAAGGGAGGAGGAGGAGTTCAGGAGTTCAGGAGTTCCAGGACGAAGTCCATGCAAAAGAGAGGAGGAGGAGGAGGAGGAGGAGGAGGAGGAGGAGGAGGAGGAGGAGGAGGACCCCCACCCCTCCTACTTCTGGTGGTCGTGGTGGAAAACAAGCCCACCATGAGCAACCCGATGATGTCAGCAGCGGCGGCGGCAGCGGCCGCATAAGCGATGGTCTCCTGCAGCCGCCGCGCGGCGGCCTTCGCCTCCTCGTCCAGGCGCTGGAGCCTCGGCCAGGTGCGCAAAGTTATAGCCGGTGGTGGACAACCTCCCTTCAGTAAACCTCCATTTAGCCAAAACGGCCTAGGGCCGAAACCGACGGACCTGGACCCGCAAAAACGACGGCAACGACGCCCTCTCGCGAACCGAAAACGGCCAATTCGCTAATCGACGTGTCAGGGTAGGAGGCCCATCAACCTCCGATGGAGTGAAACAAAAACGGCACCAAGATAATCTCCTGGAGGTCCACGCGGATTTCTTGGATCGGCGATGTCGCCTCCTCTCTGGCGCGCGGGGTGCGCCACGCGCCTGAGGCGCTACCATGGAGCCCAAATCGCAGATCGAAGAGAGCTGCTGTATGTTTCATTTCTTTCTCCGGGGTGCGGGAAATGTGGTCGGGCAGGCCGGGTAGGCAAATGGGCAAAGGAAAAAGTTCCAATACCCAGACCTCTCCCGGGATGCGTTTTGACTAGGATTCCGAAGCGAATCCAGCCGTGGCGACGAGGGCCTCCTGGGACGCCCAGAAGGGACACGGAATCGGTGACTTCTCCTCTCGGCGGTGGACTAACTTCCCTTTGGTAAACCTCTCCTTAGTGAAAACGGCCTGGGGCCGAAACCGACTGACCTGGACCCGCAAAAATGACGGCCCCGACGCCCTCTCGCAAACCGAAAACGGCCAATTCCTGAATCGACGTGTCAGGATAGGAAGTCTCTCCACCCCCGATCCTCCACTGGGGCAACGCCGGATTTCGACGGGGCGCTCTCCTCCGCTGCAGCCCTCCGTGCAACCCAGACTTCCGGCGTCTTGCTAGAACGACTGGGCGGCCAGCCCCCTGGCCTCCGACCAGAGCCCCCCGAAAAGGGGCGCAGCACTGCACGAGATGCCACGTCGGCGGGCGCCCCAGATCGGCAAACTCGCGGCGCATGGCATTGCATCCGGCGGTGGACAAATCTCCCTTCAGTAAACCTCCCTTTAGTGCAAACGGCCTAGGACCGAAGCCGACGGACCTGGACCCGCAAAAATGACGGCCGCGACGCCCTCTCGCGAACCGAAAAGGGCCAATTCGCTAATCGACGTGTCAGGGTAGGAAGTCTATCAACCTCCGATACGTGGGGGTTCGACTCGTTACCGACTCGGGGTTTCACTCAGCTTTGGACTCCAGCCGGGAGCAGCGTTGGGCGACTTCTGGCCGGTAGCATCTCCACCCCCAGCTACTTTCTCAGCCTCCAGCTGGAGGACGAGGGCGTCGAGGGCAGAGGCATCCTGTCGCCAGCAACTGCAGCACTACACGGGGGCCGCGACCTCTGTGCTCAAGCGCATGCGGCCTTTCGCAGTCACCCCAGTGTTCCAGAATCGAAGACACCACACACTGACATGGGCCAACATCTCATGACGAAGCACAGAATGGGATCGGGAACCAAGAACCCACGCCTTGGCTAAAGCTGCCAGCAACATGCACTCATCCACATGGCTCACAACTACTAGCAACAAGACCTCAACTACCTGGATCAAAACTGCGCTGTTCTACCGACTCGCGTGCGCCATCCTTGCACTAAATAATCTCCGCCGTTCGATTGAAACGACTGCGCTGTTCTTACGATTGGGCCGTGGGCTGTTCTTGCGCTTGGGCCGTGAACTGTCCTTGCGATTTGGCAATGGCCTGTTCTTGCGATTGCGCAAAATTATTTGCACCGCAATGCCGTGACAGACGAATTTGCACCAGAGGCAACAAACAAACAGACAGATAACGTAAACAAAAATAACATATTCCAATAACAAACAATCCATAAAGAGAGAACCCACAACATTGAATTAAACATACAAGCCGCCAACATCAATTTACCTTGAGAATTCCTGGAGAGTGCAACAAAAAGCTCAACATAAGGAAACGACGGGAAACAAAGATAGATAATCGTTTTGGCCAACCAAATAACATGAAACGAAATCAAAACAGATATCGCCCCGGCAACGTCTGGGAGAAAAACACTGATTTGTGAAATTGCCCAGGTTGCTTCCTCCTGGTGAGGCGTCTGGGCCGGGAGCGTGATTTGTTTAGGGGCGTTTGGGCCGGGGGAGTTCAAGTTAATGGAGAATCTGCGCATGAGGAGCGCCAGGAACCAAAAATGCGCACATGGAACGCACAATTTCCCAATCGGTGGGGCGTTTGGCCTGAGAGCGTCCAGGAACAGAGATTGCTCGCATGATGTTTAAATGTTCCGGTTGTTCCCTCCCAGTGGGCCGGAACAATCCGGGTGCCCGTGATTTGTGCATTCCCTGGTTGCTCCCTTCCGGTGGTGTGCCATGCCGGTCCGGGAGCAGAGACTGCGCGCATCATTTGCTAGACTCCCTGGTTGTTCCCTCCCTATGGGACGTCTTGGCCGCAAGCGTCTTGATTGCGTCCATTTCCCGATTGTTCCCTTCTGGTGGAGCGTCTGGGCCGGGAGCGTCTGGGAGCAGAGAGCGCGTGCATGATCTTTTTGGTTCTACAAGGGACCTCTGGTCACGGGGTGATCTCACAACGGCACCAGAGCCAGGCAAGACCATGCGGTGCTGGGAAAAAAAAAAAACATCACTCCTGCGGTGGCAGCCTGGCAAGACCAGGGCCGCGAGGCAGGGCGAAAGAAAAAACATGATTTGCTTAAATTCCCCCGTTGTTCCCTTCGAGCGGGGTGCCTGGGCTGGGAGCTCTGGGAGCAAAGACTGCGCGCATGATTCGTTTACGTTTTCAGTCGCTTTTCACCACGTTCCATCACAGACAGCGGCAGACGAAACATGCGACCGAAGTGTCCTCACGCCCGTGGCCTCACCCCCCTTCCAGACAAAATATCACCGCGTCCCAGCAGTCCAAAACTGCCACGGCAAACATATCAGACATCCTCAACCCCGCACTGCCAGCGACGCAGAAGCACCCCTGGGGACAGACCTGCCAGCATATGACGATGTCGCAGATCCTCGCCTACAAGGGGAATGAGTACAGTCCGGGCGTTGACATAAGGAACCCTAAATAAGGAACGAGGTCCCTTTTTCTCATAAGTTGAACTTCGATTCCCCATGGGAAACCTCAGGAAAACCCAAGCCAAACTATGAAGCAATCGAGGAACACCGAGCCCCTCCCCAACGAACAGGCTTCCTTCTTCAGCGCCCCGAATGTAACAACCTCCCACAAGGAGTGTCTGTAACAGGGCTGAACCTAAACGGTGTTTTTCGTTTTCGTTTTGTTTTCGTTTTCCCTCATTTTGTCCTCAATCCGCCTTTACCGCAAAACGACATCGAAACGACAACGGCCCACAAAATCGCCAACAAAACCGTTTAGGTCCACCCTTGTGCACCAAATGCAGCAAACATATCAGACATCCTCGGCACAGAATCACCCCTGGGGACAGACCTGCCAGCATATGATGACGTCGGAGATCTCCGCCTACATTGGGGGGCTGCGCGGTGGGGCATCCGTGTGGTGGGGCATCTGCGTGCGCGCTGTGGGCCCCTGTGGCCTGCGTCGGGGCCTTCAGCGGGCAGCGTAGGAGGCCTCCGTGGGCGCGCACGGGGCCCGCGTGGGCAGTGCGGTGGCGCACCTGCGGGCCCCGATGGCTTTCCTCCAGGACCGGCATGATCTGCCGGGCAAGGCCACGAAGCCTGCTTAAACTGGCCATCGCTCGGACGTCCATTCTCTGTGTTTTATTCGGTTTCGTGCGTGGCTTTTTCGCCAAATGATCAAACATGCTCCTCGATGGTCCTCGATGGGTTTCCTCCAGGACCGGCATGATTAAGTCGGGCCTGTCCCCCTCCAGGGGGATTTTGGACGAACAATTAAACATAGTCAAACAACGCCCCAAAATGGTCAAACATTTTTTTTACATAAAAAAACCCGGACTATTCTTTAACTATTTGGGAATACTCCTCCTGTAGAGGGACACGCCCGACTTGACGGTATGATCTGCCGGGCAAGGCCACGAAACCTTCTTAGAACACTGCTGCGACGGCACTCGGAGAATGGGCGGAGTTGGGAGGGCACGAAACCTTATCAGTAACAGGGGTTGTGAATGCCTGCCACAGTCTGGCGGGGCCTCCATGGAGGGTCAGAAAGTACTCGCGGCACGGGGGGAACGCGAAGGGTACGAAACTGTTGTTTCAATTGGATGGTGCCTGACGTATCGCCCGAGGTCTCGCCCGTCTGCAGAAGCCAGCGCTAATGGCACAAATAGCCGAGACAGTAATCAACAAACCGGTGAGAGCATTCGAGAAAACTGGAGCACAGCAGAGCTGCGCTCGGGCGAGACGATGAGAGAGTACCAGATGGCCTGATGTTGCCCGTTGAGCAAGACTTCCTTAACACAGGCCACGTAACCGATCGGAAAAATGCAATACGAGCTGTGCTCAGGCGGACCGTCCTGTGGGAAACCGACTTGAACGGCGATAGGTGCAAACCACTCGAGGTCGACCCGAACGTTTATCACACAACCCATCGCTCTCTGAACAGTTCGCCTTCCGTCCTTGGTCCAATGCGAGACGGACCAAGCAAACATGCAAGCATCATCCCTCGCCACCAGGAAAGAAAACGGCTGCCCAACGCATCACGAGGGAAAAAGAAATGCCACGACCAACATTAGTCGGAATCGCACATGAAATTCTTGATGCAACATTTGAACGGACACACGCACCCGCAACAGTTGCAATTGAACAGGTTGATGTAGATGTAATCTTGATCCATGTTGCAAGGGCCTTGGTCGATCTGGAAATACACCAAATCCACCAGGAGGGATCCAATTAACATGTTGACCCGGTCCTCATCTGCGGCCCCGTCCTTGTAGCCAACGGTGTACTTGTGGAGACCGCCACAGAACGTGCAGCAAACCTCGCAACATGTTTTTGGCGCCAAGTGCTGTATCACGCCCAGACTACCAGCCGCTCCGTCGTCTTCGCTCTTGTCGACTTGGAAATCGCTCTTGCAGCACAACGCCATGCAACCGCCAAAACACAGTGGACCGTGGACCTGCATCTCGGACCCCCCGCTACCCTGCGCAGGCTTGATATCCAACGTGGGCACAAATCCTCCCCCGCCGCACGGCTGCTCCAACATCGACACCATCTTGGGGGCATTCTGGAGCTCGCCCGGAAGGCCAATGACCTCACCCTCGTATACCTGGAGCTTGTCGTTGCAGCAATCGCATATCTGCCACCGTGCCTCTGGGCGCAGAGTGGGCGTGTCCTCAGGTCCTTCGCCAGTCCTGAGTCCCCAGTCCTGAGGAGTCTTTTGTGGGCCCGGACCCAGAAGCCCGAAATCTACCGGGGCTTCACGCGTGCCCTCTGGGTTCCCTCGCGGCTTCCCGCATGGAGAGCCCGAAGACGGGCCAAGAGGGCCCCACGGGACCCCCAAGACAGTCGAAGAGGGCCTCGAGTCGCCGAAAGTTTGTTCCAAGACGTTCAAGATGGCCCCAAGATGGCCCAAAATAATTCCAAGACGGCCCCAAGAGGCCCCCCCAAGAGGGCACCAAGAGGCAAACCATATTGATGCCGCTTAGGTGTTTGAAGCAATTTGGCGTTCTCGCCTTTTCGGCTTTCCGACGCTCGAAGATGGCCCAAGAGGCCCCCCAAAACCACCCCGAAACGACCCACGAGGCATCCAAAAAGGCCCCGAGACGGCTTAAGAGCGCCCTCGAAAGGGCCCAAGAGGCGACCAAGACGGCTCCAAAGGGCCCAAAGACGGCCCGACAAGAAGGAACGCGAACCGAGGTGCCCATCTTGGTGGTAATGTCGCCTGTCTTCCTCTGGAAAAAGGCGCCCGAACCGACGCAGGATGTGGGCGGACGAGAGCTGGAGCTGCCGAAGCAACCAAACGGGTTCCCCGGGCCGCTCTCCCGCTGCGTGCCTCCGTTCTCTCGGATGATGGGGAAACGTCAAGGAAGGAACCGGCTCAGGGGGGGAAACATCGAGCTGGAATCTGCGATTGATGGCCGATAAATCGGCGATACGCCCCCGATGGCGAATCCGAACGCTTCTGTGCGGTGCGAGCGATCGGGCCCCTATCGAAGATGAATGGGCGATCGGAGGTGTATGCATCCCCCTGATGCTATCGCCCTTTAGCGTTGCCCATGGTCAGCCAGCAGGTAACTGGGACGACGGCAGGATGCCAACAGCCACCTAACAGCGGGCTGCACGCAGAGCGCAGCGCGACGCGCGGTCGTCCTTCACCTTCGCGCCCTCGCGCCGCCCCCAGGAGAAAAACGTCCAGACCGCGCGGCGTCAATCGCGAGCATCTTAGCACCCAGAAAAAGGAGAAACAGGGAGGGGAACACCGCGAGGCATAATAAGGACACGCCTGCACCCCGCAGGGAAAATGGAGCAATTCTGATGGGGCCCGCGCCCCAGAAGCTCAGCTGGCAACTGGGCAGCCGTTCGAGAAGCAAGAGATGTTAAGGACCACCCACAGAGGCGAATATCACTGATTTCCTTGACTGGCTGAAGCCGCGCATCCCTAGCGGACGCGTGGGCAAAATTGGCGAAACAAGCTACAACGGAATGTGCAAATGCACAAGTACAGGAGGAAGGAGAAGGAGGAATGAGGGAGGACGGCATATTATCACAGTTTGTAAACTGACGTCGCCCATTGTTGTCTCGGGCGGTCCCGGCGCCTGCGGAGAGCCCAATTATTGGGGGCACCGTCGGCGTCGCACACTAGTTGTTTAACTAGTGAAGCGTCGCCTCGGGAAGAGATTTTCCTACATAGGTCTATTTGCCGATCGCGTGCAGCCGTGGACAGAGGCTTAGAACAAGCGTTGCCCAGCACAGATGCATCCGAAATTCTGATAGAAAAAACAAACAAAAATATTGTATCCGCCAGTATGTTTCTCAAAATCTTGCAGTGGAAGGCGCCCAACCTGTCGCTGATTTTCCAGAAAACAACAACGAATCAAGCGAGTACAGCAGTTTGCTCAGCGCGCAAGAGAAATATCCACATCTAAATATACAAATATAGATGTATGCATATGAAACTTTCGTTTCTTTCCAATACCAAAATGCTTCCGTACTTTACATAAATATTGAAATGTTGAGTCTGATTTTCCCAAAACGTCTTGGCACATCGCTTCCAACGCGTACATAATTCATTATCAAACATCCCAAATAAACAACTTGTTCAAAAACTTTAACCGCCCCCCTTCCGGGTTCTTGACACACTCGCCGGTACAGATTTGCACCTGCGCAGTTTTATCCCAATTGAGCTCGGGGTCGTACTTCTCCCCTTCCAGCGCTATAGCACCCAGCGTGCGTTGTAAACTGTCGGCTCTCTGGGATATCAGCCCAGTGTCGTCTGCATGCAACGCGTCGTTGGTGACCGCGTAAGTCAAGATCTGGTCAAGACCCAGATGACAGAAAACGTCATGCAACGCGGGCCGTTTGCATTCTGATGAATACTCATGACGATAAAAGGGCATCCTTGGGCGATGGCTGCTGCTTGGCGTTCTGAAGATGTCCAACAATGGTCAGCAATTACAAAACACCGATGCGATGAACACCCGTCATCATGCAAACCAAAGGCGGCGGCAGGTCAGAGCGAGCCAGCGCAGGGCATACACAATCAAGCTTAAAGCGGTCGTACGCTTAGGCCCAATCCAGAATAAGTAAAATGCCCACCGCTGTTGTTTAACAGGGCTGCGTCAATCGCGCGCCTCGCCAGCGTAAGAGCGTCGGCCGCGCCGCGGAGAGGGCGAATGCCAAATTGAGATTGCCGCGTGCGCGATTTCGCCCCTCCTCGCAGTTGTCGCCTGTGCAACGCGGCCGCCAGCGCTGCGCAACCCGTAGACAATTGCGAAATTGGTCGGACAAAATTCGGTAAATGGGGCATTCCCTTTTGAGCAAAATACCGTTTGCTCTCCGAGACTTGTCTGGTATATCTTTTGCGCCCCAACATGTTCGGCGCGCGTCCAATCGCGCTTCGCGCGCGCTCTCGCCTCGAGACGCAACCTTCCCAGCGCCGGGCGGCGCGTCGCCCGGCCCAGCCGCCTGTCCACTCTAAATGTTACGAAGCATCTGTTGTCGCTCAGCAGCGCTGAAGTTGGACGCGACCGCAGGCAAGTCATCGCCCGACGCATTCGAGGCCGTTGGCCCTATGCCTGCAAAATGCACTATCCATTGTACCTTCTCGAAATAATCGGCACATTCGGCTTGAGCGTCTGGCCGGGCAGCGGCGCCTGCAAGCTGATGGTCAAGACCTCGTACTCCAGCATGTGTTGCGCGGTCCTGCCGAGCGGCCCCCCGGATCAGCTCGCGCGCGACTCGATCCTCGTTGGCGCCCCCATTTCGTCGCGAGGCGTTCCGCCAGGTGCCAAAGTATCTTGGGAGATCCAGGGCCTGCGTGCAGATTGCTGTCTGCTCTGCAGGGCGTCGCGCGCGGCGCCGCGCGCACTGCCCACTTGCTTTGCCATGGGCGAGCTGTTTGCGACGCGCAATGTCTTCCAGATACCGGAGCAATGGCGCGCGCCCGCTCCATCTGGATCGCCTGGCCCCGCGCCGAGGCTCTGTCAATCTGATTCCGCGCGCGGGCCAACTTAATTTGAATCTGCAACCCAATCGCCGCCATCGCCAGATAGCGGCGGCCATTGAGGGCCACGCCCCAGTGCGATATGCAGAGCCTGACCCGAGGAAGAACAGATGTGCGACACAACGCTCGGTCGATCTGAGTCTTTCTCCGGGGCAACGTCGAGGCCCATGGAGACCGCGTCGAGATTCCTGCGCGAGACGCGCTGCTCATCGGGAGCGTCGCCGAACGCGTTCGCGATGGCCATGTTCAGGTAAAAGTTGTCGAATCGACTTTTGAGGCCGACGCAAAGAACTACGTAGGCCATCTGCCGCAAACATGGCGCCTATCACTGCAAGCATTTTCGCCGGGCCGTCGCTGCAGCAGCGTGGCGTTAAGATCTCGCAGTGCGACTGTACTGCCGCGCTGTATTGTCGGCCGCGCTGCCTGCAATATGTCTGCGACGAACACTTGGCGGACCTCGTAGTCGTGGCCGCTCCGAGGGGCGCAAACCATTTTGATGGTCGATGCGCAATGTTGCGCCCGGACTCGCATTGAAGCTAGACGCGATGAAATCGCCCGCATCGGGCCCATGGAACCACGAGAAAACCAACTCTGGCCACCGGGCGTTTTTCTGTGTCAGGCCCCCCTGACGTACAAACCATAAAGCCATTGTGAACAAACTATGCTGAATCATGTAGTTGAGTTTCCTGTGTGGCCTGTGGCCAACATATCAATATGCTGGTTAACGATAGCCCTCGATATTTTTTGTTTGATTCGGGAGTCTCCGCGGAGGCCCTCAAAATTCCAAGCGCCAAAGGATTGCTGACCGAGAGGTTCGCTTTCGCGGCGAGGCTCACGCAAAGTACGGTCGGATGTGGAAGACGATGCCAACGTAGCCAGACGCATCGACATTCCCAGCGGTGGCGGGGAAGAACTGGATGAAGAGGGGGAGCCAAGGAATGACAAAAGACGACGGGACATATCGGTGATGACGTGGCCTGGTATCTTTGCCCATGCCTGGTGCCGCAATGGCTCGAAGATGCGCTCGGAAATGCGCCGGAACAGAATGTGGATGAGAGACATTCCCAGATAGGTGCACCGGTAGGTTTGCCCAAGATGCGCCCAGAGATGGGAGGATCGTGCGGGAGAAGAGGTTGCCCATTCAATTGGACTCCAGTGTCAGGACGAACCGGATCTGACACATGCCTTGTCTCCTCATGTCCCTTGGACGTGCCTTTGGGCTGGCATTTCATGCCGCTCCGCGCCCACTTGACAAAATCGTCGCACTTATCTGCAAACGTTTTCCGTTCCGCGTGGTCCTGTGATTCTTGCCGATGTTTCCATGTGTCGGACCATTTTTCTTACGGTAAGATCATGTTCTCCACCCGCCGTGACCTCGTAGAGCGAGGCCTCGGCGATGTTGATGACGTAGGGTAATTTGACAATGTTTTTCGAAAACTACTTCAATCCGGAACACGGCTTGCGCGCCGCACGCTCCATGGGCGGACGATGAGGCGAAACCCAAACACATGCGCAATTGCGTTAAAGACGAGGGCTCCTGAGGAGGGCCACGGCTGTGTCATGGTCAAACGTATCCGACAACTTCGCGAAGATAATATCATTTGTATTTCCCGTCATGTACATGTTCTGCGGAACGGGGCCATCGCATTCGGATAGTTTGTCCCGCATCCATGCTGAAGCCATGCTAAGAATTTCAAGATGGCCTAAATTACCAGAAACTGTTGTGATAGATCGCATGTTTTTCGGGTCGTTTGCAATACGAGGACGTGTAGGTATGCTTCCCGGTTCACGCAGACGGGCAACTTCACGTTTAAATTCTGCGAGTTTCGTCTCCGGGTCGATATGACGCTCCGGAAACCGATCTTGCCGAAACCGGTCGGGAATAGTAGTTTGACTCCAACAAACCGACTCGTTTTGTCAACTCGGCGATATCGTTATTGATCGGGTTTAGAACGTCATTCAAATATTTTTGCGAGACGCCGTGCGTTTTGATTGCTTCTATGTCGTGCTTGGTGGGGTCCAGGTGGTGGTTCAAGATCGTCTCGAATCCCCTGGCGGTCAGGGGCTTGTCGGCGGCAGCCTCAATGTAGTCATTGAACTGTTGTCGTCGTAATGCGAGTGCGCCCGCGTTTTCAGCTATAGGTTGTGGCTCTTGTAGCGGGCTGCCTCCCGTCCTAGCCTGCTTGAGAACGTTTTTGTTACCGGAGTCCCCATGTGGTGTTTTTTTTTCCGCCGGCGTGGTAGCGACAAGAGGTGGCAGCGAAACTTTCAATGGGAATTCTGCGGTCGCTGGGGCAGCTCACCACAGGAGTGCCTTGAGCTCCAACTTGAGCCAACTTGGGTCTTGAGAATTTGAAATGTTTGTCGCGTTCTCGCGTTTTCGCGCTTCCGACGATCCAGGATGTCCCCAAAGGCCCCCAAGACCGCCCCAACACGGCCCAAAAGGCCCCCACGAGAGCCCAAAGACTGTCAAAAAGGGCCCCACAGCGGCCCAAGAGACGCCCAAGATCGCCCAAGAGGGCCTCAAGACGGCCCCAAGAGGAAGAATACGAACCGACAATTCAAGCCTTCCGCCCCAAGAGGGCCCCCAAGAGGCCCGAAGAGGCGCCCAGGAGGCCCCAGGAGGCCCCCAAGAGGTCCGAAGGATCCACCGAGACGGCCAAAAGAAGCTCCACGAGGCACCAAAACGGCCCCAAAGAGGCCTCCAAACTGAGGCCGCCCACGAGATCCCAACGACCATCCAATAGGCTTCATACCCACAGCCCAGGCACGATGGCGGGATGGGCCGAGGGCCACTAGATCCGCCGCCCCCTGCTTGCAGGGGTGCACGGCGTGCTGGACGTTTCAGGTTTTGGTTTTGGTTCTTTTTCTAAAAGAACTCCCCAGTGGGCTTCGGCCCGTCCCGCCGGCCACCCGCAAATTGCCCAAAACCCATCTCTCAATGCCCAAAAACGGCCGTTTCGCTCGGGACATCCTCAAAAAATCGCGAAGATGGCCCAAGATGGCCTCCAAGTCCGCCCGAGATGGTCCAAGACGGCCTCCAAAACGGCCCAAGAGAGTCCAAGACGGCCCAAGACGGCCCAAGAGGCCCCCCAGAGGCCTCCCAGACGGCCCAAGAGGCCTCCAAGAGGTCCTCCAGGAGAGTCCGAAGAGGCCAAAATCATTGATTTTCCCTTGGTTTTTGAAGGATTTTGGCATTTGCGCCTTTTCGGCTCTCCGACGGCTCAAGACGGCCCAAGAAGCCCCCAAGATCGCCCAAGAGGCCCCCAAGAGAGCCCCATGATGGCCCAAGTGGCCTCCAAGATGGCCCCTAGAGGGCCCCAAGAGGGCCCAAGAGGCCTCCAACACGCCCAAGATGGCCTCCAAGACGCCCAAGATGGCCTCCAAGACGGCCCTGGAGCATTCCAAGCGGGCCCCAAGTCGGCCCATAGAGGCCCCCCAAACGGCTTCCGACGGCTTCAGACGTGCCAGGAACCCACCAAGATGGCCGAAGTTGGCTCGAAGCTGGCCCGAGACGGCCCAAAAAGCCCCAAAGATCGCCCAAAGCTTGCCCAAGAGGCCTCCAAGACGGCCAAGATGACCTTCAAGATGCCCACGTGTTCCCCGAAGGCTTTCCAAACCGATTCGGGGAACACGTGGTCCGATAGCTTGGCAGGTCTGGCCTCAACGTTCGGCCACATAGGCGCTTCCAAAAAGGCGGGGGGCGGCGGTGATTCGCCGCAGGCGTCTTCGATAGAAAAACAGCACACGCACTTGCCATTAGACAAACCCTCCCGCTCCACCGACATAAGAATCTTGCCGTCTGCGCCAGGCTCCTTGAAGTAGAAGATCGTCGACGAGCATGCGCTGCAACAACACCGTTCGCCTGCACGGCAACCCTCGGGCTTCGTATCCTCGACGATATCTAGCACCGTGCGACCCCTGGCATCCTCGACTGTGTACGTGTTGCCACCTCGGATGCAGCAGCACGGGAACCCTGGACCGCCGTGCTCGCCCTTGCACTCGTTGCAGCAGTTATTACAGCAGCAGCAGCACACCTGAGCGCAATCGCAGTCGCCCCCGGAGGTCTGCGTCATCGTTAGCGACTGATGCTCGCGGATCAGCTGCGCGACGCCTGGAAAACCTACGGGCACGGGGGCCGCCATCTGCTGCACCTCGGGGACGGCGTTCTCAACGGCACCAACCACCTTAAGAGAGCGCCAACGATATGCCTGCACGGACCCTGGCCGGGCGCAGCTTGGGCCCAGGATCGGTGCAAATGTCTGGTTGGCGTCCTCCGACCACCTGGCCGGCAATTTTGCCGGCAGCGCCTGCCGCCGCCTGCCCCAGAGACTTGAACATTGCCAACGGCTGCCGCGCAGACCGACGCGTCCGAGGCTTCGGGGCCACGGCGGGCGCCCCCAACAGTGATCGGGCAGCACGGCCCACGAGAGGAGTTGCTTGAGCCCAAGCCTGAGAATGCCACATCGTGGTCTGGCGGGGCCTCCCTGGAGGGTCGGGCAGACATGGGGGAGACTGGCAAGGGCGAGAACCATGACACCTGGGAAAACCCCCGATCAGTGGCTGATTTGGAAATTAGTCATATGGATCTTGAGATCGATTGTGAAATCGATAATGAGATCGACGGTGGAATCGATAGTTCACGATTGTAAGGTCGATCGTGAGACTGAGAGTGGAATCGATTCAATGAGATCGATAGGGAGATCGATCGCGAGATCGCTCGTGCGATCTATAGTGAGATCGATTGCGAGATCGATTGTGAGATCGATAAAGAGGTGGGAAATGAGATCGATGCTGAGACCGATCGATAAGAAGATCGACCAAGAACGCGGGAACCTCGCCGCCCACCGAAATCGGCCCCGGAACGCGGAACCCGGGAACCCGGAACCGGGAACCCGGGAACCCGGCCTGCCACCAAAATCGGCGTGAAACATTCGCCTTCTCTTTCAATATCCGCTAGGACCCCTTCAGTGCAAGCACTGATTGGGGAATGAGAAATAAGACACGGGTTGCGAATGCCTGCCGCGGTCCGGCGGGGCCTCCCTGGAGGGTCAGACAACACTCGCGGGACGGGGGAACCGCAAGGGCACGGAGCCTGACAAATGGAAGTTGTGGGGTGGGAAGTGCAGGCGGAAGTGCATGCAGAAGGGCAGGAGTACACTACCATCTAGCGGCAGTCGAACTCGCCCAAACCCAAAACACAAACAAGCGTCTGCGTCTGAATACTGCTACATTTTATGTCTGAACACTATTGTGTGTTGCGATGCTCGGCATTCTGCGACCGCTTCCCCGTAACATTGAAAAGTACAGCCTGGCCACAAACAGCTGGTCCTGGGGGCGCGCATGGACGGAGCACACGACGTCCGAGGTTTGGGTCCAACCCCCGCTCCTGCCCCTGACCGTAAATCGCCTCGCCCGCTCGTGCTCCTGCGGCTGCGGCTGCAAAATTCTTCCTGTCACCATGCGCACCAGCCCAGCACCCGCAGCGATCAGGACCGAAGAGAGCTGAAAAGAACAAGCCGAACTGCCATTACAATCAAGCTGCTAGCTGCCACAAACTGATGATTGGCGAAAGCACCGCGCCAACGTGCGCTGGATGCGAATGTTTCAATGCAGGATGCTTTCGTTTGGCGGGGGCGCGCTCTATGCCAGAGAACGAACACAAAACCTTGTGCGTTGTTATTCTGGCATTGGCCTGACTGGAAATTGCCTAGCAACGAAAACTCAGCATTTGGACTGCACGCGTGCCCGCATCAATGCACGCGCCCGCTTCTCGCGGTAGGGGTGCCAGGCGGGAGACCAGCTTCCTGCCAGGCGGGAGACCAGCTTCCTGCCTATGGGAGACCAGCTTCCCGTCTACGGGGGGACAGCGTCCGGTCTGTGGGAGACCAGCTTCCGGTCTGTGGGAGACCAGCTTCCTGCCTGTGGGAGGCCAGCTTCCTGCCTGGAAGAGACCAGCTCCCTGTCTGTGGGGGACCATCTCCCTGTCTTCTTACCTCCTCTTGCCGCCGCCTTGTCCCCCCGAGTACGAGAGCCTCCTTCGACAGCAAGAGCAAGGCGGGACCGACAACGCTCGAGATGGGCTGGGAGGGAGAGCAGCAGCAGGGCAGAACGTCCTTCTGGCGGCACCGTCTTGTGAAGTTCACGTGACGCAGGCAGCTCTGCACAATTCAAGCGGCATCGCTAGTGCTTGTAGGCACAGGTGCGCCCTCGCCACCGCCGGACTCCAAGCACCTGATCATGAACTCTTCGGCGGCCTTCATCTCCCTCGGGCTTGGCTGGTGCTCCTCCCTGGACTCCTCAATCACGTTCACGTTCTCGAGTACCTCGCTGAGCAGCGACGCCGACACCTTCGACAACTCAAAGCCGATGACGGGGTCTTTGTCCCCGTAGCAGAAGAGCACTGGAACAATCTTGCTGGTCGGGCTGACCTCAGCTTGGAGCGTGTCCCGATGAGTAGCCCACCCACTGATCGACACAATGCCTCCAAGCCGCTTCGGATACGTCAGCCCTGCAATGAGGGACACGACCCCGCCCTGGCTGAAGCCGCCAACCAACACACGCTCGGGTGGTATGCCTTTTTCTTCGAGGTCTGCAAACATCTGATGAAATGACCTAATCGTCCTGTCGAGGCCCTCAGGCGTGTCTGGCTCCTGCAAGCCTATAGGCTCTGGTGGCTGCCATGTAGAGATATCGAACCACGACGTCAACACTTCACCCTCATAACACGAAAGTGGCGACTCCTCAGCAGTAGGGTGGTGGAACTGCACTCCTGGGATTTGATCTTGCACCCGCCTGAAAGCACCCCTCCAGCTACTGCCAACATCGCCCAAACCGTGTACCCAGATTACCGCCATCGGTTGAGGCTGCTTGAACAGGGGCGGTATTAGCGATGATGATCTTCGCCTTGAGCACAGATGGCTACGGCAAGCGCACCGGTAGGAAGAACAGGCGGGGCAGGCGCGGTAAGAGAACAATATGGCTGTCAGGGAGAGGGGTACGGATGAACGGACCAGGTAGCAGAAAGCCAGGATGGACTCGACAACTGAGTAGCGCCCAAATGCCGTTGGAATATCTAATACGGCTGTGAGGCTGCAAAAAGCCTAACGAGGGCCCCCTCTCCCATAGCAGCGCGTTTCATTCGGCCCGCGTCTCACACAATTTAAAATCGATGACAGCATGGTGGCCTTCATTGGGCAACACACCCGATCCCCAGAGCATGACCAACGATCGGGCTCTACGTGCCTCTGGCGTGCCAAGCACCATGAAATGCCCTGGCTGGCCCTAACGTCAGACTCATGCACATGCCCTCACGGCGTCACACGAGAGAGTCATACACCATTACACGCCCTTGGCCTGACTAGCTGGGCGGGATCTGTCCTGCGGCGGTTTCTTAGTCCAACGGCTGGACAAGACAGCGTGGACAAATAATGACTCCCCCAGCAGGCCTGACGAGCAACTCCTCCTTCGCCGACAGCGCCAACTGCAACTGTAGAGGCGATACTCACAAGATAGCATGTTTCCTTCCTGCATGGCAACATGACTATGAGTTGCTGAGATAGGGTTGCGCGCCCGACTAGCTGACGGATCGACGCGAGTGGACACGCACTACTAAACGCATTCAGTCGAAACCACACTCACCATCGCCTCCCTGATTTGAACCCTCGGACGTCATGAGGCCTATCATCTCGTTATCCTCCTGTAAATCATCCTCTCTCTCTCTCTCTCTCCGCGCCAGCCGCGAATCATGGAGGTGCTGGCGTTTTCCTGGGATGATCTAAAAAGGAGCTGTCACAACAACCGATCCACGCCGCGATCGGCTTTACAAACCGATGCCGCCTGTTCGCATGCCTGCATGAGCAGTGCCCCATCTGCCCTGAAGTCTCGCCAAGCACCTGGGCGTGAATGGTCCAGGGAGCTCGTCCGGCTAGTCCCCCTCCCCCGCGTCGCCCGGGGATGATGATGAGGATGCTGAGGGTGATGATGAGGATGAGGATGAGGATGAGGATGATGCGGAGGAGGAGGATGAGGATGAGGAGGAGGAGGAGAAGGATGATGATGAGGATGAGGCGGGGGAGGATGAGGATGATGCTGATGCTGATGCTGAGGATGAGGATGAGCCCCCCTGGGTCTGGACTCACCCCCGCGGGGGGCGGGCGAAGGAGCCGCACGCTCCGCCCTGCAAGCCGCCCCAGCTAGAACCACCACCCCAGCTGCCCCCCGTGGCGACTGCTCGGGCCCAGACGGGGGGTGGGGGGACTACTCGGGCACCCCCCTCTTTTGACCGATGGCTTCCAAGAGGACCCCCAAGGGGCCCGCCAAGGCCTCCAAGAAAGCCCCGACAAAGCCCCAAGGGAGCCCCACGCCCCCACGCCCAGGAATGCCCCCCAAGAGATCCCAAGAGGCCTCACGAGGCCTCAACAAATGCCAAAAAAGAGCCCAAAGAGGCTGCCAAGACAATTCCACAGTAAGAGATGAGTAAAGGCCTTGGTGGTTGACTCCTGTCGTCGTCGTCGTCGTCGTCGTCGCCGCCGTCGTCGTCGTCGTCGTCGTCGTCTTCGCCTTCGTCGTCGTCGTCGTCGACGTGGGCGGCGTCGGAGGCATCGACGTCAGCGTCGGCGTTGGCGTGGTCGATGTCGTCGTCGTCTTCGCCTTCGTTGTCGTCGTTTTCGTCGTCGTCTTCGTTGTCGTCTTCCCTCCTTGTTGCGCTGCATGCCGCGTCACTGTCTGATCAAAACGTCTTGTCTGGTTTACCATTCACGCGGTGGTGGGGGGCAACCGCTTTCCGCGGTTGCCTTTTGTCACCCCCTGCTTGCTAGATGATCAGCGTTGGCGCGTCGTCGGTTTCCGCGCGCCCAGAGCAACGCGCGCACGGCGAGCAACGCCAGGCAACCACTCTACCGAGGCGACCCCAAGTACGCACGACGTAAAACAGACACCGTAGGTAACGACAGGTCACCCCTGATTAGGGAAACTCGCCTCGTCTGCTGTTGGATGGGGAGACGCGAATCGTCAAGAATTGAAACCGCCTTCATTGGCATTATGCGCTCTGCGGTCGTCAACATGCCTGGGCCCGAAGTCGAGATTCAAACACATGCAGAAGACGATATGCTTGATATGTCTGCGCCCTTGCTGGTCACAAGAACTCGATGTCAAATCGCAATGCAACATGTCTTAGACAATATCTGAACATGCTATCTGTTTCACACCAACAGATACTTCCGGGGCCCGCTGACTTCAGGGCCCCCCAGAGCGAAGAACAACCTCGGGGACACGTGCCGACGATACCCGTCAGGGCCCCGTAGACGGGGACTCTGATGAACCAGGACATTGGCACGCCCAAGAAAACTGCACCCGTGAGTCAAGACTTTTCCTATTCTTCGTTCTCGCCATCTGCAGCCCGCTGGGTCTGACTTTCGGATCGTGAACAACTCGGGCCCTCAGCGGTCGTCTGGGACGATCCAGGCACACCCAAAACGCCACTGGCGAAGCGAAACTGTTGGAAAAACATTCCGAGGCCGAAAAACCTCCGTGAACCGACGAAAACGCTCGACCCCGCCCTCCATTCTATTCCTGAGCCCGCTATGCGCTGCTCATGGAGGGCTGATGCAAAGGGAGGGAAGGGAAGAAATGTGCACCTTTCGTGAACACCTTCGAGGGGCCCGCATAGGGCCCCGTTCGAGCCCCTTTCCTGCAGCCCTCGATCCCCGCCCCGCGACGAAAACGAAACGCCCGAGACCGCCCCCCGCTGCGCGCACGCTGGGTCGATGCGCCCCCCCCCCCCCCTGTAGCCTACGGCAGGTTCGTGTCGTGACAACCCCGGCTTTGGTTTCTGACACCGGATGAATCGTTCAATTTTTGAACGATCGGCGGCTTTTCGATCGCCCGATCGTTTCATGTAGGCCGATTCTGGGCCACTGGCGGCGTCCAACCTTGAACGCCCGCGGCGGGGTCGTCGCTGGTCGACACGACGCGAACCTACCGTACCTATCCCCGTCCCCGGTGGACTTCGGACACCAACTCGCCGGCAGCTCGGGACGATCCGGGGGCACCCCCGCAGCGCTCTCGGCGAGGCGCAGCTGCTCGAGGGCATCCCGCGGCCCGAACACCGCCGAAGATGTACGAACACGCGAAATGCTTAAGAAATCATGGGTTAAGAAATTCATAGTCTCAGAAACTGAACAAAACCCAGAACTTCTATCGAAATCTTGGGATTTACATTGAAAAGTTAAGAATAATCGAGACTCTGGACGAAAACTTAGGTTTTCTTAAGCATCGCCTAGGGTGTACGAACCCGCCCGAAAACCTCGAACACCAGTGAGCCCCCCCCCTACTGCCGCGGGCGTCCAAGAGGGGAGCGCCCAAGAGGGGATCTCACAGTTCATGGCCCAAGGCACGCGTGCGGCGGCCCAGGGGGGGGGTGGCAAGGGACGCGTGGGAACAGGAAGGGGCCACGGAATCTGGGCAGGCATCGTGGCCCCGTCCATGATACGGTCAGAAACGTCTGCTCAGCTTGTCTGAAGGGGCCCTGGGACACACACATAAATACACACAAATATAAGGATTCCCCATATTTTCCAATGTTTTCTGGGTTTTTTCCTACCTAGGCTCTGCCTAGAAGGGTTCTTACTCTCTTAGCTTAAAGGGGCCGGGCAGTGCTACACGCCCCGGGCGGTTCCCCCGGTCCCCTGGGAGCGGTTCCCCCCAGTCCCCTAGGAGCTTTAGCTTTAGCTTTAGCTTTAGCTTTAGCTTTAGCTTAGCTATAGCTTAGCTTTAACTTAGCTTTAGCTTAGCTGTAGCTTAGCTTTAGCTTAGCGTTTCGCTTAGCTTTTCGCTTAGCGTTTAGCTTAGCTTTAGCTTAGATTTAGCTTAGATTTAGCTTAGCTTTAGCTTAGCTGTAGCTTAGCTGTAGCTTAGCTTTATCTTAGCTTTAGCTTAGATTTAGCTTAGCTTTAGCTTAGCTTTAGCTTAGCTTTAGCTTAGCTTTAGCTTAGCTGTAGCTTAGCTGTAGCTTAGCTGTAGCTTAGCTGTTGCTCAGCTTTAGCTTTGGATTTAGCTTTAGCTTTAGCTTTAGCTTAGCTTTAGCTTAGCTTTAGCTTAGCTTTAGCTTAGCTTTAGCTTAGCTTTAGCTTTAGCTTAGCTTTAGCTTAGCTGTGGCTTAGCTTTAGCTTAGCTTTAGCTTAGCGTTACTGTTGCTACTAATGCTGCTTTCCTAGGGGTTCCAACTCCTAGGTAGGGTCGCACTGGGATAATTGTCTTCCCCCCCACTTCCCATATTTTCCCATATTTTCTGGGGGATCGACGATTAGTTGTGTCTGTGTGTTTCTTTCCCGCCTGACTGTCGCGACGGCGGCCCCAGCAACACGCTGCGCCCTGCAGGCGGACAGCGTGCCGCTCCGCTCCGCGGGGCGGCGGGCTCGAAAAACCACGGGCCGCTGCCGCTTGGGCGTCGGGGCGTGGATCGCGCGCCGCACCGTAGAGTGGTGGGCCAGAAACCGGCAGCCCGACACGCTGAGTCCAAAGTCCTGACCACATCCAAAACATGAGTAAAACGACGCGAAGATCGGGACAAAATCGGATCGGGGTAACTCGACATCTCTGAGAATCGGCGGGTTTGGAGGATGTATTGGGCGCCGCGGCCGCTCCAGAGCGTTCCGGAACGCTCTGAGAGCGCTCCGGAACGCTCTGGAGCGATTTATCCCGATCCTAGCCCTGTTTTAATGAAGCCTGCTTAGAGCCTGTTTTTTTTGACTCGGGCAAGTTTACTTGCATGGCGTTCGCCCCCCCCCCCACCCCACTTGCCCCTCTTCAAGCGAATGCTAGCGTGCAAGTGCCTTTCGACTTGCGTGATTTCCGCGCCCCCCCCCCGGGCTTGCTTCAGGCTCAGCACCCCCCCCCGTCCATGCAAGTAAACTTGCCAGAGTCTTAAAAAAACAAGCTCTTAATTACGCGAAAATGCCCGTGACCGTGATGACGCCCGTGACCGGCCCTGCCCCACCGCCCCTCCCGTCCCCCTGTTCACGTCACAGTTCGCGCCGGCGCCATCTGGAAATGAACCATGCGTGCCGTAAGCATTCCTGGACGGCGCCGGCACGAATCGTAACGTGACTGGCCCCCTCCCCCCTACTCGCCCCATAACCAGTCACGACCGTGGTCATCACGAGATACACGTCGTTCGTTTCTAATCGTGTTCATTTCTGATTGCGCTCGATTCTAATTGTTCCTGGCCCCCTGGTGGCCAGGAACAGGGCCCAGGCTAGAACAATTAGAAATGGAAGGATCTTGGCCCCAAAAAAATCAATGATCCCTCGAAGAATTAGAAACGAACAGCGTGCAAACAAAGTCCTCACGCCTGTCCCCCCCGCAGGCCGCCCCCCTCCCGAAAGGCACGCCTGCTCGACGGACAGCCTCAGGTCGTTGCTCCGCGCGCGCAGCTCCTGCGCGGCGAGGGGTCGCTGCGGTTCCCCGCGCAGCCGCTCGTCGCCTGGGTCGTCGGGGTCCTCGTCGCCGTCGCCGTCGAGGTCCTCGCTGTCGTCGTCGCGGGGGGGGGGGGGGACGATGAAGACGAGAAGGGCGAGGAAGACGAGGCCGAGGAGGACCGACCGACACCTCCAGGGGCAAGGGTTGCATCCGAACACCTCAACAGCGCCCTAGGACCGACATAGCTGCCGCGAATTTCAGGCGCCCAGCCCGCTCACAACTCACAGAGCCTTTAAGCCCCCGAGCTTCCACGCGAAAGAAATCTAAGTTTTAAACCCCAGGAGACGGGCCGCGGACCCAGCAAGGCTATCACCGAAACCCGAAAACCGAACAAAAACGGACCGTATCCGCCTGTGTGCGGGCACGTTTCGACGGCCTCGAAGCGGAGAGGGGGGTCGCAGGAGGGAGCAGAGGGACAGCAGCCTCGGCGGCAGCACACGGGGCCTCAGAGGAAGTAGGAGAAGTCGTACATCGCATAGTTGTGGTCGCAATACGTTCTTCCAAACACATCGGTAGATCAGACAGTTGCATCCCATCGTCAATTGACGTCGCACCATCTGCATTGAACGGTAAAAGAGAACAACAACCCCTCTGCAGATCATCTCGTGACTCGAATTGCTCATCACAGCCATTCACCACGATAGGGGTACATACATCCATCGAGGCAGCACCAGTAGGAGAGGACGGAGAACATCGCATAGGAGTGTCGCAATACTGATCAATGCCAACCAGAATCGGTAGAGCAGACTGGTGCATCCCATCGTCGTGAGACGCCGCGCCATTGAAAGATAAAGAGACTGAACCACCTTCTCTTCCCTGGTCATCGCTAGAATCGAATCTCTCACCATGAACATTCAGACAGATCTCGTCCGACAGGAATGTCTGAATAATACGCTCGAGATGACTCTTTGGCGCAACCCCGACCTTCTTGGTGGCCCCCAACTGCTCTAAGCAACATATCAGCGCGTTGAGCGAAGGTTCGTTTGTCATCAAGATTTTGACTTGTCCCTCCTTGCGTGCGCTCTGGATCTTTATGAAGGGAAACTTCTCCGAGACCGCTTCGAGGGGGAGCTCCTCTACCTCGGTGTGCCACTCGGTGAAGCGCTGCTGGTTCCTGACGCCGACGCTTACCCCCGCTTCGTGAACTCCTTCCGTCAGGCTTACCCGCGCTGCCAGAGAAATCGTGCCTGTCTTCTCGACCTCCGACTCCTTGCCGCGCGCCCGAAGATCTTGGGCGTTCTCCACCCACGCACGGACTCTGGCCTTCGACTTCTGCACGGGCGCGGCGCGCTCGTCCATCAACAGTGCGATGGGGGTGATGGCTTCTTGTTGTCGGTTTCTCATGGTCACGTTGAGAAGCAGTTTCATTAGAATCGGCACAGCCTGCTGGATAGTAGCCGTGCCCATTGACTCTAGTGACTCCACCTCCTCCTTCTCGACCATCTTGTTGGACGACTTCTTGGTGAGGGCGCGCTTGGGCTGGTTGCCGCCGGCGGCGGCTGGGCGCCTCCTGCCTTGCTCGGGGACGCTCGGCACGGGCGAAGTCACTGCAGGCACCGCCGTGAACATACCAAACAAATTCAGGAAGAGGAGGTGGAAGATGGATAACAAGGTGTCGCTGCAGAAGCTCGAGAGATGAAAACGGCTCAAGACAAACGGGGCGCACTCTCGCTTCTGGGTCATGTATCGGAGGATCGTACTGTGACGCATCAGCTCTGCAACGACCATATCTGCACGCGTTCACAAGGTGTCGTACAGCAGTGTCCCTAGACCGAAATGTAGACGAACAAGCCACGCACTGAAACCACGACTTTAGATATCAAAGACTGCAATCCAGGTTGGCCTCCAGAGGCCTGCCTCTGACGCACTAATGGAGCCCGCCGAGAAACAAACCGACGTTCACACATCACACACGTTGTCCCCAGTAGCGAGACCCCCAAGGTCAGGAGGTTCCAGGCGGTCGGGGTCCTTGCGCAGACGCCACTCAGCCCGAAATTGTTGGACACCGAGTCTCTGAAAGGCCTCAGAAGCAGGAGTACTACCACGGAATAAGTCGAGATAGTCCCCGCCCGTCTCATTCACCACGGCCGCCCCCTCCTCCGTACATCTGATATACTCAATACCCTGAAAGACTGCCGAGCCCAGGGATTGGTACGCGAAGTATCCATCGACCTCGGGGCAACATTGGGGTACCAAGGGAAGGGCGACTATGGGCCTTCTCGAGGTCCAGGGAGCCGAAGACAGCAATCAGCTGCTGCATATTCCACTCGGGTGAACGCGCCACTTTTTGCCACTCCCTGAGCCTCTGGACACGAACTTCCAGACCGATAGGGACCAGGCCCGCACGCCGCCAAATTGCGTGTGCAGGAGGTGTACGTATGACAAGATACTCTTTCCCAGCCGCATCCGTCACTGTATGGGGCACGGCGACGCCACCTAGGAGCACGTGAAGATACCGAAGACAAATGGAGTCGACCTTGGCTTCTTGAGACTCAGAAAGAACAAGTACAGTAAGCCCTGAAACAACAGCACCAAAAACGTTACTTCGGAAACCAAATTTTTAGCACGCCAGGAGGGGTATTGGGACCAGAAACGACGCATGTGAGCCCATCCACGGGACACAGCCGAACATCTGGACGCAACTTCAGGAGCCCAGGACCCAGTCGGCGTGAACAGCGTCCCCAGGAAAGGGATAATTGGAAAAACAACCCCAAATCGTGCATCCGAACCGTGGCCCTAAATACAGCTCTGGAAAACCGATGAGCACTGTATCCCACGAAGTGGGGGAGCAATTGTTTTTTGTCGTCTGACTGGTGAATGCCATGAGCAGTGGTCTGCTGGCTCAGCACTCTGCCAGAGCGTGCGATAATATGTTGCGCTGCGGGCACATCTGCAACGACGTGAGTCGTGTTGACGTCGTCTGCAAAACCACGCAACGAGAGATCATACCGTTCCCCCGAAGTAGCACACGCTCCTTCACGCAAGGACGGATGTGCCTCATGATGTGAAGCTTGCCAGACACGGATCGGTGGTACGAAGGCCTCCTGAAAAAACAGTAGCCGCATTCGGGCCCCCCATGTACTTCCCACCACAATTTTGAAATACGATGTCTTTGTCGTAAGATCCCCGCACCCCCTGGTTGGTAAAGGCGATCGACGGCCGAGTCGAGGGACGAGTGCAGCACCGGGGCAAAAACGGTTCGCATATCATGTTTGGTATATATAGTAGAAGTTCTGCATGTTTGGGCCCTCCACGTTAAAGCAACAATAATACGCACAACCCCCGTCCGAGATCGCCTGTGTAGGTAGCCGTAATCGTGACACGGTACCATCCTCTCACGTCTCTCCGCCGTGTTTACCCACATCTTCCCGACTGGACATAAACCATGTAATAACCTTGTCCCCAGAGTACGTAGCGTACCATTTTCTTTAGATGGTTGATACGTGAGCGTCATATTCCAATGAGGTAGATCTTCAACATAATAGGCCTCCTTACCGATACATTTCCTCTGAGTCCCAATGAGAATCCGTATGTCTACCTTTGCAAACTCGTACTGGATTTCTAGTTCCATGTCTCGATCTGATACTGACAGTGGGTTCCAGCACAGAATTCGCATGGCCGCTAGTGATAATAGGACACGGAGTAAGAAGTGGGGTGTAAAAGTGGAGGCGGAGGAGGAAGAGGAGGAGGAGTAAGAGGAGGAGGGCACGAGGAAGTGCAGAGGCAGAGGACAAGGAATACCAGAGAAGAAACTGAAGGGGACGATAAAGTGCCCTGATGCGCGTCACACTGACGGTGCTACTGGACCAGATGGGCTTCCTCATCTGGATCCTCCCTCCTGCTTATCCTGCTTGCCCTCCTGCTCCCCAGGATGCTGCTCCGTCTCCGATGCCTACCCCTCAAGTGCATCCGCATTATCATTATCCTTCTGCCTTCTCGTACGATTGATTTGCAGATTTGAAAGCCAGCCGTTCTCGCTCTCTGTCCCTCCCTCTCTATCCCTCTCTCCCTGTGTTTATGTATATGTATATATATATATATATATACATACACATCTCCACCACCATGCCTCGAGGCACGAAGTGGAGTTATCTCCAGGTTCTCATGTGTTCTCTGTTCTCTGTACCCACGACTGGGGGATTCTAGTATTCTACGGGGCTAGGGCCCGAGACTCTCCAATATCCTGGGCGCTCCCGCGCGCTACTGGGCTGCCTCGCGAGACTGTTCCAAAGGCCAGGGGGCCCCAGAACGGGCCAAGAGGGCCCCAAGAAGCGCCCAAGAAGGTCCGAGAGGCCTCCAAGACGGCCCAAGAGTGCTCCAAGGCGCCCAAGATGGCCACAAGATGGCCCAAGAGGCCCCACAGAAGCCCCAAGAGCGTTCCAAGAGGGCCTCCAAGAGAGCCCCAAGATGCAACAATTAATTATGCCCCTTGTGATGTTCAATGTTTGTGGCGTTCTCTGGTGAGCTTCCGACGCACCAAGAGGCCCCCTCTTAGATGGCCCAAGAGGGCCCAAAGCGGCCCCAGAGGCGCCCAAGGCAGCCCAAGAGAGCCCCACGACTGCCCCAAGAGGGGCCCCAGAAGGGGAACGCAAATCGACAAGTCGAGCCTTCCGACCAAAGAAGCCCGCAGGAGGCCCCCAGAGGCCTCCATGAGGCCCCAAGAGGCTAGACAGTTAATGAATATTTGTAAGTTTCTCTCTCTCTCTCTCTCTCAAAGGTGGTTCAATGTGTTTTCCTGGGAGGCGGGCAAGCCTCAATGCAACAAACATAGAAGCCCCTCCCCAAAACCTAGCAAATCCCTAGCACAACCTGACCCAGCCCCTGTCGACACTGCGCCAGAGCAAAATCGTCAAAGCAATGTATCACGTGCGCGCGCTGTAGCAAGTAATACTCCGGAATGGAGCGACACAGCAACATGCAATGCAAAAGTGCCACTTATATCACTGATCCCTCTTCG